CGTATCAATAGGTAGAAACGTATAACAACAGTTTCAGCCATTTGTCATTATGTGAATAGCTCAGACTTTTTTAATAACATAATATTTAAATAAACAATAAATTAATATATTTATGATACCGAAAGATGGTCTCAACGTTAATCATGCTCCAGAAGCTTTTTTCTGGATGGTTTTAAAACTAATTAGTCTTTTCATAGTTTCGTCTACGGAGAAAACAAATATATATAGGAAATAGACCGACCTTGATTAGTATATATGGCTACAAAAACCATTTCAACAAATTAAAATTTTAATTAGAAAACATTGTTGAGGCCAAAAGCAATCACAAATTCCAATCCATAGTGTGGAGGGGATCTTGTCGATTAACCTATAAAATTTAGGTCTTCTTTATCATATAGACGGATCATAAAAATTTAGTGACATCTTTTCAGATATGAGATGACATTGTGTTTAAACGGATGGTACGGAGTCGTGTCATGAACTTGCGAAAAAAGTTTTTTTTCCTTTACATTCTGATTTGGAAACACTAATCTGATTATACTTCGCTTACTTTATAATCATAAAAACAAATGTAGCTTTCGCCATTGAAAACATTAAACTAGTGAAGATAGTGTTTGCATCCACGTGATGGTAGGCTTTCTCTACACATCTACAAGAGTTCACCAAGGGTAGAAAGCGTTTCGCACGTTTCACCGTAGCTCATACATCAAGATCACATAACACAAAAGCGGAGAAGTTATCATAAAACGCTACTCTTTTTAGTTTACTATATATAGTTTACTAGTATTGAGCCTGGCTCTGCACAGATATACAAGTTTCGCACAACAATTAAATGGTCTAGCGAGGTTGCAGAGATCTCTATGATAACTTTCAAATGTTTTTATACCGTTTCTTTTTCTCTTTTTAAGCTTTGTTCACAAGCAGCGTCGTGAAAGATGTATACATCTTTCAAAATACAAAAATAATAGTGAATTAAAACTTGTTTGCCACGTTAATCTAAAGTAGTTACTAGAGAAAACAATAGAGACATGAAAATTATAGGCAGTAGAACATGATTAGAAAAAAAAAGTTTACCCACATATTCGTTGGAAATTTGTTAAAAAAGGAAACTATCGACAAACAAAAAAAAATCAAAGGGAGATAGAAACGCCATGAAGAAATAAAGTGAAAATAGAGATGATTATGTTTCCCATATATTGATGACGATTCTTAAACTATATATGAGCAATTAAGTTATAGTTTCTCCTTGAATATAGGAAGTGGAGATCGTGGGAGGTTAAGGTGGAACGCAATAGAGTTTTTTTTTAATAGTAAAATCTAATTTCAATTTTGGTTAGATAAATAAAAATTGGAAACCAAAAAACTTAATTGACACATATAAAAAAGTTGAAATTGTTATAAATCATAGTGGATTGTCATAACCAGTTCTGTTCCAGTATAGTCCGGTCCGGCCCATCTATACTTAGTCATAGGGTAATTTCCTTTTCTCTTTAGGAAAAGGAAAGTAATTTCCTTTTCTCTTAGGAAAAGGAAACTTCCTTTTATCACATGTATTGATCCTTATATAAAGGATACTTGATTAATGAAAGAAGATACGAATTTTCCCATTCTCTTTCTCTCTATTCACA